TGCTCGATGTTATTGAACTTGTTTGCACTGGAGGTGGCCAGAGAACCCACCAGATCTCGCAGTTCCGCCATCGGGTCACTCTGAGCTGGGGCTGCAGGTGCTGCCCCTGTCTGCTGAAATGGCCGCACCTGTGACTGAGGTGGAACTGGCCCCTGTCTGTGCGGGTAGAGTGGCTGTTGTGGCTGCTGAAATTGCCCTTGTCGGGGTTGGTATGGAGGCCTCTGGAAACCAGGTGGTCTGGAATTTGCCCCACCCCAGGAGAAGTTGGGATGCTGGCGCCACCCCTCGTTGTATGTGTTGCTGTAGGGGTCGAAGCGCCTGGCATTACTGATGAAGTCCACCTGCTCCTGGGTAGTAGACGACTCCCTCATCACCTGACAGTCCTCCACGGTGTGATGGGAGCTCTCACACCACTGGCAGTGCATCGCCTGCGGCTGTCCTGTAATTGTAATCAATCTAGAGCAATCTCCGGCTGAAACCAGCTTCGATACCACCTGCACCAAATCAGATGACTGGGTGGCGACAACATGCACACCCCGCCCTGGTGCTCTTCTCCATCTCCTGGAAGTGCCCCAATCATATCCCTGCTCTCCCATCTCCTCAAAAAGTTGATTCAGCTGGGGCGGTGTTTTGGTGAGCATATTCCCGCCACATACCGAATCAATCAGCTGCTTGTCCTCCGGGAAGAGGGAATGGTAGAAGGTTCCCACCTTGAAGGCATCAGTAAAACCATGGTTAGGACACTTGAGGAAGAGACTAGTGTATCTCTCCCAAGCATCCCTGATGGTCTCATCCTCATCCTGAGCAAAATGGGTAATTTGCTTCTGCAGGTCCACCGTCCTGGATGTAGGATGGTAGCGGGTGAGGAACTTGTCCGCCAGGTTGGCGAATGTGGTGATAGAGCCCGGAGGTCGAGTGTCTAGCCACTCCTTGGCCTGCCCCTCCAGGGTGAATGGGAAGTACATCAACTGGATGGCATCTGCTGGGACCCCATTAATCTTGATTCCATCGATGAGCTCGTGGAATCGCCTGAGATGTGATCGGGGGCACTCCCCCTCTTTGCCACGGAACACCACTGAACCGTGCAGCATGGTGATTACTGAGGTGCTCACCTCAAAATTGTTGGCTGGGACATGAGGGTGTTGAATGGGTGACCTCATGTCCGCGACCCTTGCGGTCCAGTAGGATCCCATGGTCTGCTCCTCAGGAATGACCACATCATGGTCCTGTCGGTCAGCCATCTCCTCTTCGTCAGTGATATGTAGTTGTGCTAGCGCGTCCTCCGCAGCCAGTCGCGCCTTTAGAGCCCGCTTGAAGTTTCTGCAGGTTCGTTCAAGCTCCTGGTCTAATGGTAGTAGATCTCCCGACTGGCTACGGGTCATGCACTACCTGCACACAATCAGCAGAAGCAACCCGTGAAGGCACACAGGTGGAAGAGATAAAATGCAGTAAAGAAAAAGCTACAGTAACAAATTTTCACGTTTCCCCAATAACCTAGAGGTTCCCCGGCAACGGCGCCAAAAACTTGACACGCCAAAACACAACACCAAACTGCGACCAAGTGTAATCGCAGTCCGGGAATGCAGTAAAGTGGCAAGTTCTATTATCAACCCGGGGTCTAGATCTACTGCTTACTCCGTGATTATCTATTATCTAGCTAACTAAGTTAAGTGATTGTGTTTTTAAGCAAAAGCAGTAAGAAAGCAGGAATTGGTACGGTTTTCTCAAGCAAAGAAGAGTCACTCGGGAATGAGTCCCCCTAGCTCCTTAGTTAGGTCTCAATTGTAATTACCCTGGGTTGATTTACTGTTGATTAGACTGCGGAAGATCCGACAGTAGCTTGGAATCTCTTAAGCTGACCAAGCCCTATCAGTCTAACTACCCGGCAGACGACTAGTCTTCACCGGGATAGAAAGCTGAAGCAATAAGCACAAAACTCCAGTACTGGAATTGGATTCCAGGACAAAGCAGTAAACTGGCTAATCTCGTATAACCAATCTCCTACTACCGAATGATGAGGCTCTAACAACCTAATCAGATTCTATCTATCTCAGGTTGCAGCAGAAATCAAGAAAAACTGATCAGACTTCAATCAATTCAATAAACATGCATCACTCGATTAAAACCAAACAGTATAATCATCCCAAGTCATTACAATCAAATCCCTAACACATGGAACTAGGGTTCTTCATACCCAAGTGAGAGAAGGGTTCTACTCCATAGAGAGAGAGGAAAACAGAATACAAAGCAGTCATACTCATAACAATGGGAAGAATCTGCTCTGGGATGATGATTTCCACTCCTATGACGATCTCCAAGCTCGATTTGATGAAACCCAGCTCCAAGATAGCTTCTAGGATGTGTTCTTCGTACTTTCTCTCTGTAGGGCTCTGTTTTTGCTCTGAAAATCGGATCCCCTCACTTGTGGCCCAAAATTGGGTAAAAACAAGAAATTCCCGACTCACACGGGCAGGCCACACGGCCGTGTGGAATACCCAGTTTCCCGTGTGAGGTCAAAACGCCGCGTTCCGATTATGTGGGTTTCAGGCTTCCTACACGGCCAGGGGCACACGGCCGTGTAGCTCACCCAGCCTGGCCGTGTGAAGCCTCGCACAATTCCACACGGCCAAATTACTCCTTCACACGGCCGTGTGGTTTGTACTTGTGCCCGTGTGAAGGCTCGCACAATCCCACACGGCCACCTTGGTCACTTGCACGGCTGTGTGAGATTTGTGTGTGCCCGTGTGGCTTCCTTTGCGACTTGCCTTGCGCCCGAACTTCGTCCAATCGACCCCGAACTCGCTCCTAAATCTTCATTCACTTACTAGGACCTGAAATATCACAAACAAGCACAACCTAGCGTGAAATCGGCCTAAAACACGAGAATTACCATCTCAAACGGCTCCAGAATAGGGGTAAAAACATTTGCAATTAACGGTTTATCAGCGAATCACACCAAATTGAATGTAATATTGTCCAGTCTTTCGGTCCATAATTTTTATTAATATTGAAGAAAAATGGATCGAATTGACATTTGGACCAGATCATAGTAAACCAAAGGGATCGAATGCACTTTTGGTCCGGTCCTTGGTCCTAAGATATATGTCATTATTGGATCAGCAATTCTCCTGAGTTTGACCAGATCAAGTTCGGACCAGACCGATGCCACCTCTATTTGTAGGCTTGTAGCATAATATAAATGTAAAATTTCGTTTTGTATCATAAAGAAATTTATAAGAAAAAAAATATAAATACAACCTGAATTTGTACCTTAACGTTAAGGTACAAGTTCACTTCGTAGCATAAGAAGAAAAAAACTAAAATAAGCATAGTTTAGAATGGGAGTGTACATGAAGCGATTTTGAATCCGTTTAGATCGTTAATAACCATCCAACAAATGAGTGCTCAATGGTAAAGCATTTGAATGCCTGGCGAATTTTACAATAATTTAAAATAGGGTGAAAACGAAAAACCAACCTAATCGTTTGGAATCACATTTGAAATACTTAATCATACAAATAAATTGGCTCAATACAACATTTGAAATTACAACTTTCAAACGACTCAAGAATAATTTGAGGTAAGAAATTGAACTGAAAAAGCGTAATTTCAAGATGCATGACACAGAGGTGGAGGGAAGGGCTAAGGAAGGTGCCTTTCAGTCATTTTGGGTGACGTGTGCTGTGTCTCGCTGTCGGTCTCTCACAAAATCTGACTTCTCTCTTTAGTTTACTCAACTTGCTGTTTCTTTTTTTATTTTATTTTTTTAATTTCTTCCTTCCCCACTTGTTTGTTCTGTCAAGCACTCTGTGGAGAGGCTGGATGGCCCGCCAACTTGCGAGCAAGAAAATATAATAATTCCCACATGTGCGTGCAAGTGGGCTAATTTTAAAATTTTAAATATAACAATTGTTGGATTACATATTCGATGATAATAATGTTTTTTCGATCGCTTCCCATGTCGTCTAGATATATATTAATAATAATATGGCTCTCCAATCTCCATACACTCAGCAGCACACCCCGCGCCTAATCTCAAAAAAGATATCGTTGATCATTATTCTACTACCACTAGTTCATTACTATAATTGTTATGATTGATATGACATGTCTTACTAAACTTAGTGACCACGAATATAATTAAATATTTTTAATGACTAACATGAACTTCTTTTTATCAATTCCAGTGACCAACCTTTGCAAATTACACAATATAATATTGTTGAAGCCCCTTCGATTCGCCTACTCCACTCCCGTACCGTACTCCTGCCTTCACGGACCTTCCTGCACACACAGAGGTGGGCCTCGTGGCCCGTTAATCCTCCAACGCTCAAGTCAGCCTCTTTCTTAGAGAGAGAAGTATTTTGCCCACAGAAATCTTTTTAGTGAGAGAAGCTAACCCCCTTAAATGTTTGTCAACCACCATATTTATAACTGTTCATTACTCACCTTGGCTTTGCCGTACAAACTTCCACGTCAGCACCGTGTTTAATGTCTCATTTCAGGCGAGGCGCCTGGCTCGTCACTCCTAAGGGAGGTACGCCCCAGGCGCCTTTAATGCACGCAGACTCCCGCCCTTACTCCCTCGGACGCCTCGATTAATCGTGCTTTTCTATGCACAACTAGTCAGGCTCCATCCCCCATACCTTTGGGCTTCCCATGATCATCGGGGCCTCACTTTTCCCTGGGCTCCTTTAAGATCCATCTCCCGCATGTTTTGTTGACACGTCAGACTCCTCCCTTATGAATACCCCCAACAATTGCCCCCCAGTTAGGTGCTCAAGCCTCACGCCTTGAATGCCTAACTAAATGCTTCCCACTACGGGTTTCAACGTCGGCATCTCATTTAATACCTTACTTGGGCTAGACGCCCGACTTGTCTCCATTTCTAGGCGCCTCTTGCCGCTATTTTAGGCGCCTAAACTCCCGCCCCTTCTCTTATAACTTAGCCGCCTTGCGCTACCCCGGTGCGCACGTCATAACCCCAATCTAACTATCACACCCCCAACTCGAGGCGTCTCTCGGTATCATCAGGTGTAAGGCGCCTCGCGGCCCCCTCCTTCCAACATTGCGAGCGTCACTCGCCCCTTTTCCCAAAGGCGCCTCGCCCCATTCTTGCTGCTGATTTTCCCGACGCCTTTTCCCCAGTCTTCGACCTCACCAGGTAAAGGCGCCTCGCAATTCCCCTTAACCTCTCTCCTTTTCCGAAAGGCGCCTCGCGCTACTCCTGCTGCCCCCCTCATAACCGCCAATTTGAATTCAAACTGTGCGGTTGTGATTGGGCCACGTGGCCAACAGCACGATTGTCGAGGCGCGGCCTCTTTCTCCTTTAAATGTAAGTTCTCTTTTGATTGTACTTCATTCGCCTTCAACTCTCTCACTCTAGCTTCTCTCTCTACCGTGCCTCTCTCCCTCCTACTAGCGTGTTCTGCTTTACTCCGGGATGTCGAACCCGATCGACGATGTTGCTGTCGCCGCCGCGGGCTCCTCGAAGGGTCCAGGCGCCGCGACCAAAACAGGTAACCATCTTGTGTCGCCGCCGCCTCCTCCTTTTTTTTTTTTGTCACCATGGGGCGCCCCTCACCTCGCCGACGGTTGGGTGCGCCTGATTGAATTGTTATAGCGGGTGCGTCTGTACTGTCACCAATACCGTCTCCCTCATCCAACTACTACGTGCCGGAGGATGGATTGTACAAGATGACGACATGGGAAAACACGTGGCCGCCCCAATACACGCCTATCGAGACCACATGTTTGCCCACGAACATGGCAGGGCCCGAGCATAACTCCACCATTTCAACAGCTTGGATGACGAGCTTGATCACGGGCCTTGACCTCCCCCGTACGTGGACGTACGCGTCTCCATCTCCCATTGCCAGGGTGGGTTTATGCGGGCCCAAATGGCAGGGCATCTACCAAGAATACTTCCGGTTCGGGCTTCGATTTCCTATTGAACCCATCCTAGAGGGGCTCCTAGACTACTGCGGGTGCACAATTGGGCGCCTATCACCGTCTGTGATTCTGATCGTTGTGCTTTTTAAGTTGAAGTGCCGAATCCATAACGTGCGCCCCACTTTCAATCTTTTTCGTCACTTTTTCTCGGTTACCCCAGAGACAATTGTCTGTCGCTGAAGCACCGTAAAAAGGTGCCCACCCACTTCGTGATTAAGTGTCCAAAGCTAGGGAGGTCTTGGTTCACGAGCTTCTTCTTCATGAAGTCGCATAGGGACTACTTCTTTGAAAGTGGGGGCGCCTTTAAGACAAATTGGGAGCTTGGTGATGAGAAACGATTTAACGCTGCGGTCGTACTTAACCAAGACGAGCGTACTGGCGTCGCCCTTATAAGCGCCTCACCCGTCGACTTGCGCCCCACTAGCGCCCGGGCGCCTATTTTAAATGCATACTTTGGAGATGGTGTGTTAGATACTTCGTTCGCTTGTTAATACTTTTGTAGGCGCCTTGGCTGATGCGATTGTTTGTATGCAGGTACCGATTTTTCCCGTATTGCCAACTTGATGAGGGGGCGATACGCCAGGATGACACAGGGGGCGCCTCTCCAAGCCAACGCTGACCTCCTCAAGGCGTCCCCTGCCTCCGTTTCCACCAAGCAACCGCCCCAAGTTCCCTCTGTCAAAGGGAAAGGGAAGGCGCCCAGCGAGAAGCCGGCCAAGACTTCTAGCGTAACGTCTATCCCGTCAGGAGCAGATGCGCCCGAAGATCCGCCCTTGATTGTTACACTAGATGAGCAGGGGGACGAAGACGATGACGCGCCCTTGGTTACCCGTGGGAAACGAGCAGGCGCCCGACTAGCTTCTCGGGCAAGAAATCTCGGCCAATGTTGAAGATACGATGGAGGCCCCAACACGAGGGGAGAAAGGCGCCCAGGGGCAGGGTACACTCTCCAACCACTATGTCATCGAGTTGGGGTGCCTACTTGGTCCGGACGGGAAGCCACCCATACTTCAGCCGCTGCGCACCGAGATGGGGCGCGTTGCTCTTTCTTGCTCGCCGCGTGCGGCGGTGGATCGTGGGTGCGCAATGGGCCTGGCCCTTTTGGCGTCCCAACTACTGCAACTGCCCTCCGAGATCTCAGAGGATCGTCTTGGTCTGAAGTAGCCCGGATGGGTGTCAAGATAAATTTTCATGCGCCTCAGTTTTCCTTCGTATTTTCCGTCCTCGCCCTTTTACCAAGGCACCCCTTTATATTGCCTAAATTCATGCATCTGTTTTCCTTGCAGATGCTCCTACTCGCCAAAGCAGGCGCCCGAAAGGCAGATGTCGCGGCTGAAGAGTGTCGCGAAGCAAGGGCGTCTCTGTCCTCAATGAAGGACAATCTTGAGAATTCAACCGCGCGCCGCGAACAGCTTATCAAGGAGTGTGATGAAGCCCAACTGGAGGCGGCTAAGCAAATCTCCACTCTTCAGGCTACCTTGGAGGCGGAGCACCGCCAACGGGACGCCGAGTTTGCTTCCCTTATGGCGAAGGAGCGCCTAGAGTTCGAGGTGAAGCTGGCCGCCCTGGCGGCGGACAAGGAGGCGCTTACCCAAGACTTGGGCGCCCGGGATACCGAGCTTGCGACCTTGAGCGAGGAGAAGGCATCTCTCGAAGACGAGGTGAAGGCGGCTGCATACCGCCGAGGAGACTACAAAAAGGCCTTGAGGGACGCCCGCAAGAAAATAAGAGCCCTCAAGGCGTCCCTCAAGCGCTTCGCTAGCTCGGAGGCGGTGCAGGAGCTGATTGCCAAGGCGTCTCTGGACAGCTTGGTGCTTGCCAAGAGGAAGCTCGATCAAGAGTACCCCGACATCGTCGTGGACTTTCCCGACCTCGTGAATTTTGTCATCGAAGAGATGCAGAATGAACAGGAGGAGGCGGTTGAGGAGGATGACGCGGCGCCTACTGGGAGTGGGGAGGCGCCTTCTCCGCAAGAAAGTGACTTCTCAATGGAAGATGCCTCCTCGGAAGCGGAGTAGTTTAGGTTTCTTTCACTGTTTGCACTATGTACCATGGATTTGGGTTGCTTCCCCTCCTTTTTAATAATTGTGCAACTTATATTTGGGTGTTCCGCCTATAGGCGCTTGTCAATTCAGATTGCCTTTGCCTCTTTTCAACTTTTGTTCGGGCATAATTTACCAACTTCGGTTGCTTTCACGGCCTTTTGTAGACATTACCTACGTTTGGGCGCATAATTTTACGGGCGCTTTATTGACTTGCATTACTTGGGCGCGAGTTCCTTGGGCGCGTACTTTTTACTATCTTTGGAAGTGCCTCATTCATTCATAACTGTTACTTCCGCCTGGGCGCATATCTTACGGGCGCTTTGCCTACTCCATGGGCGCAACTTTTGGGCGCAATTTGTTACGAGCGTACTTCGGGGCAAGTTTAAACGAGCATAAGGGCGCCATTCTAGGGAGCGTTTTCATTAACACAAACAGTGGAAACACAACGAGGCACTGAACACGACAAGCGCTTTGGTTACACGCACACATGCACAACCTAACACTACACTTGCTCCAATAGGCGCTTCCCTTTGGCCTCAAAATGCCGCCTCTTTGCCCCCCAGCAGGGCGCAATACACACGCAGATTCTGTGCGTTCCATGTTCTCTTTACCGGCTTGCCATCTAGATGATCCAATTTAAATGTAGCCGCTCCAATGACTTCCCTCACTCGATACGGGCCATTCCACTTGGGAGCTAGCTTGCCATCCTGAGCACATGGCCGAAAGTCTCTCTTGAGAACCAAGGCACCCTTGACAATGCGATGCAGGTGCATTTTCGTGTTATAGTACCGAGCCACCTGTCTTTTCATTTCCTCCAGGCGTACGGATGCTATCTCGCGGCGCTCGTCAGAGAGGTCTAACTCGGCAACCCTGTCTTCTTCATTCTGATCCGGATCATAATGTGCCACCCGATAGCTTGGGATACTCACTTCAACAGGAATTACCGCCTCGCTTCGATGCGTCAGTGCAAAGGGCATCTCTCCAGTGGCCACCTTGTATGTCGTTCGATGCGCCCAAAGAACACTTGGCAGCTCATCTACCCAATGCCGCTTTGCACCAAGAAGCCGAGTGTGGAGTCCATGAAGGATGCATTTGTTAGCCGCCTCTGCCTGACCATTAGCCTGAGGGTAGGCTACAAAGGAGAACCTTAGGACCACCCCATGCGCATCGCAAAACTCCACAAATTGTTTGCAGTCAAACTGTTTGCCATGATCGGTGACGATAGACTCCGGCAACCCGAATCGGGTGAAGATGTTCTTCCTTGTAAACTTGCGCACATGGGCTTCCGTAATGGTTGCCAAGGGCTCAGCCTCCACCCACTTGGAGAAGTAGTTGATGGCCACTATCAAATACTTCATTTGTCCGGGTGCCTTTGGAAAAGGACCTAAAAGATCCATCCCCCACTGGGCAAAGGGCCAAGCACCCGTGTTACCCTGCATTGGCGCAGCAGGTATATGTATGTCTTTTGCATGAACCTGACACTGATGGCAGGCGCCCGTATGGGCCTTGGCATCCTTCCTCATTGTTGGCCAGTAGTACCCCTGCCGCAGCAATGTTTTTTCCAAACTGCGAGCCCCCGCATGCATGCCGCAAGTACCGTTGTGCACCTCCTCGAGTGCCATCTGCCCTTACTCATCGCTCAAGCACCTTAGATATGCGCCTGAATGAGATCTCTTATACAGGCGCCCCTCGATTATGGAGCACCGAGCCGCCTTCCGCTTAAGTCGCCATGCCTCTTTTGGGTCCTCCGGGGTGGTGCCCATAGTGAGATATGCTACAATGGGCGCCATCCACCCGTCGCCCACCGTGGAATTACCCATGGTTGCTACCACGTACTCTGGTGGAACTTCTTTTGTGACAATGACCTTTCTTTCTTCAGCGAAGTCTAAAGCCGTGGCCAACTTTGACAATGCGTCTGCATGGGCGTTATCTTCCCTCGGGACATGCACAAATTCCACTTCCCTGAACCAGGCGCCTTCTCTTCTGACCGCCTGAACATAGGCTTCCAGGGCTTCCTCCTTCACGTCGAACGCCCCATTGATCTGGTTGACAACCAGGGCTGAATCTGATTTAACACAAACATGCTGGGCCCCTAATTCACGTGCCATGCGAAGCCCCGCCACGACCGCTGCGTACTCGGCGACATTGTTAGTCTTGAGCTCCGCAAATCGTAGGGCAACCTCGTGCATGACTCCACTGGGGCTGATAATTACTATCCCTGCTCCGGCGCCCCCTCGACTCGCCGCCCCATCCACTTGAACTTGCCATGTATCCTCGTCCGCCCCTTCTTCCTCCACTATTCCTTCCGCCACAAAATCAGCAAGCACCTGAGCTTTGATGGTAGGTCGAGGTGCATACCTGATATCAAACTCACTTAGTTGCACGGCCCATTTAACGAGGCGCCCTGCCACATCCATGGAGCCCAAAGTGGACTTGAGCGGTAGGTTAGTGAGTACGATAATGGCATGCGCCTGAAAGTACGGGCGCAACTTGGTGGCGGCTGTCACGACCGCCAAAGCAGCCTTTTCAATAGGCGCATATCGCTTCTCGTGGGGGCCCATTGTCTTGCTCCCGTAGTAGACTGCCCTCTCTTCTCCTGAAGGTGCCTCCCTAGATATCAATACCGCGCTAACCGCTGTGTCTGAGACCGTGATGTATAAATACAACACCTCACCAACCATGGGTGCTGTCATTACCGTGGGCGCCGCCAGGAGGCGCTTCAGCTCCTCAAACGCCTCGCTACACGCATCATCCCATAGGAATCGGACTGCCTTCTTAAGCACCCTAAAGAAGGGAGCGGCCTTGTCAGGCGACCGTGGTATGAAGCGCCCCAGCACCGCCAGTCTCCCTGCCAAACCTTGTACTTCTTTGGGCGTTCTCGGAGGTGTGAGCTTGATGATGGCCTCCACCTGCTTTGGATTCGCCTCGATCCCTCTTTTGGTGATCATGAAGCCCAGAAATTTACCTGCTTTAGCACCGAAGACGCACTTAAGGGGGTTGAGACGAAGGTTGTGAAGGCGCATGGTTTCAAGGGTCTCTCTCAAATCACCTAGGTGGTCCTCCCGCCTACGGCTCTTGACTATCAAGTCGTCAACATATGCCTCCACATTCCGCCCGATTTGCCGTTGGAAGACTGTATTCACCATACGTTGATACGTGGCGCCTGCATTCTTTAGCCCAAACACCATTACCCTATAGCAAAAGTTCCCAAAGGGCGTCATGAACGCCGTCTTCAACCGGTCCTCCTCGACCATGGGAATCTGATGGTACCCTGAAAACATGTCGAGAAAGCTGAGCATCTCATGGTAGGCGGTGGCGTCCACCAATAGGTCAATGCGGGGCATCGGGTACGCATCCGTTGGACACGCCCTGTTGAGGCTTGTGAAATCAACACACATTCTCCAGTCTCCCGTCGGCTTTGGGACAAACACCACGTTGGATAGCCACGTCACATAGGCTGCTTCTTCCACGAACCCGGCGTCCATGAGCTTATCCACCTCCACTCTGAGCATAGCCTCCTTTTCTTGAGACAGATTCCTCCTCTTCTGCTGAACGAGCTTCTTCCCCCCTTCCACTGCCAACTTATGGACAGCCGTCTCAGGCGCCACCCCGGGCATTTCCTTAGCACTCCACGCAAATAACTCCGCAAACTCTCTCAACAAAGCAACCAACTTCTCAACCATTTCGGGAGGCGCTTGTACTGAAATCCTTATCTGCCTTTCCGGTCTGCTCTCATCTAGGGGAATCATCAACTCTTCATCGACTGCTTCAGCCCTGGGCGCCTCTTCAGTGCTAACCGTATTCACCCTTTGACTTTTTCGCGGCCGCCCGCTTTTCAGTCGAGCATAAATTGGGGCGCCTCTTCCTCGAGCAATGCCTACTCCCTGTGGCGCTATGAATTTCAACGTCTGATGGCACGTAGACGCCACCCCATTGAACAAGGCTAAAAGGGGCCTGCCAAGTATCGCGTTGTAGGGAGACGGGCAATCCACAATCCCGAAATCGATAGCGTGTGTGACCCGCTGCTCTTCGTCGCCCATAGTGACGGAGAGGCGCACACGTCCGATAAACTTTGCGGGCGCCCCCGAGAACCCAACCAATACCGAATCTGATGGCCGTATCAAGTCCGCAGACAAATGCATGCGTGCTACTGTGTCCTTGAACAGCACATCCATGGAGCTCCCCGTATCTACAAGCATCCTCTTCACCGTGCACCCGGCTACTATCTCTTGAATTTCCAGTGCTTCTAAGGAGGGTATCCCATAGGCTTCGTCAGGCGCCTGATTGAAGCTAATGCACACCCCCTCTTGCTTGTCTACCGACACCGTTTTCGGGCGCCTGCTAGCTTCCAGCTTATCCCTGAGGTCCATTGTGCCCGTGATCGCTTCCACCGTTAGCCTCACCTTCTCGGACGCCTTCTCTTGGTCAAGCTCAAATGGAGGCGGGGGTAGATCCTCCCTAGGTTCGGGCCTGGCTACATACGCCCTGTGCACCCTTTCTTTCGGTTTTTTAACGAACTCATTGAGCATGCCCCTGTCCACCAGCCCTTGTAATTCAGTCTTCAGCTGGTAACAATCGACCGTATTATGCCCCCGCTCCCGATGGAAGTCGCAATATCGGTCCAAATTCTGCGGATTGGGTTGCCCCCTCATAGGCCCCGGCCACCTCACATGGTAGCCCTTATCTTTCACATATTGCAACACGTTTTTCGGCGAATTGCTGAGCTCTGTGAATTGGTTTGACCTAGGCGCCGGGCGTCCCTGATCACTCCTCCTTGATCCGAACAACGTTCCTCCAAAGACAGGCCTGGACTCGGGCGCCTGCCTCCGTGCTCCATCTCCTTCTTCACCCTTCGGGCGGCGCCTATCAGAGCGTCTTGCCGCCAGTGTCTCTTCCAAAACTATAACTTTTTGCACCCTACGATCCAAATCTTCTGTAGACACCACATCTCGTTTAGAAAGCGCCCGACAAAGCTCTTCACTTGTGGTGCATTCCTCTAGGAGGACCCCGAGCACCGGGGGGTGCACATCTCTCATTGCCATTGCCACTGGGATCCACCACTCGTAGAACTCCCTCAAGGTTTCCCCCTCCTTTTGCTTAATCTTGAATAGGGCGCCTACGGTCAGTGTACGCCTCTTCCTGCTCGCGAACTTTGCCAAAAATATTGCCGCAAATTGCTCAAAGCACTTTATGAGCCCCTCTTCGATTTGATGGTACTAGTCTAAGACCACGCCGACGAAGGTTGATGGGAACACCTTACACAAGGTCGCGTCCGTACTGTTATACAGCTGCATTTTGGTGAAGTAGCTGTTCAAGTGATCATCCGGATCCGCCGTACCATCATAGGCGGGAAGTGGTGGAATGTTGGTACTGGCGGGCTCGGCGAGCACACTCCTGGCCTACGGCTGCCTCACCACAAACTGACAAGGTGGGCGCCCCTGCATCCACACGTTTCTCTCTCCCTCCGAGTCTCCATAGTCAGCCAGCGCCTCATACTAGCTAGGCGCCGCAGTGAGCTGGACTCCCCTTCGGCCTCCATCGTCCGCTCCCTTTTCCTTGTCATTGGACTAGGCGCCCCTTCCTTCAGCATCTCCACCTCCTTCCGTAGCATCCCAATAACCTCATCTTGGTCAGCTATGATTTTGAACAACTCCTTCTTGGTGATTGAGGCTTCGTCTGAACTCAGGTGTTGGTCTTCACTTCCTTCACCCTCACCCCTGCTAGGCATTCGTTCTCCTACTTCTTGAGACGCCTCCCCCATGACATGTTCCTCAACGTCGCTCCCCCCTTCTTCCATTGAAACAAAAGCGTCCCTTCTAACAACCTGCTATCTGATTGTCTGAACTCCTATGCCCGTTCCCACAGACGGCGCCAATTGTTGAAGCCCCTTCGATTCGCCTACTCCACTCCCGTACCGTACTCCTGCCTTCACGGACCTTCCTGCACACACAGAGGTGGGCCTCGTGGCCCGTTAATCCTCCAACGCTCAAGTCAGCCTCTTTCTTAGAGAGATAAGTATTTTGCCCACAGAAATCTTTTTAGTGAGAGAAGCTAACCCCCTTAAATGTTTGCCAACCACCATATTTATAACTGTTCTTTACTCACCTTGGCTTTGCCGTACAAACTTCCACGTCAGCACCGTGTTTAATATCTCATTTCAGGCGAGGCGCCTGGCTCGTCACTCCTAAGGGAGGTACGCCCCAGGAGCCTTTAATGCACGCAGACTCCCGCCCTTACTCCCTCGGACGCCTCGATTAATCGTGCTTTTCTATGCACAACTAGTCGGGCTCCGGATTTTAACTAATTGGGCTCCATCCCCCATACCTTTGGGCTTCCCATGATCATCGGGGCCTCACTTTTCCCTGAGCTCCTTTAAGATCCATCTCCCGCATGTTTTGTTGACACGTCAGACTCCTCCCTTATGAATACCCCCAACAAATTTTATCGAAGATATATGTCAATATTATTTGGTCAAATTTATAAAAAATTAATTAAGATTTGATTTGTTGGCAAGATATCTCCTAAAAACAACATGTTAAGGAATTTGTTTATAGGGAAAAAGTATTAGCATATTAGTATTCTTGGTTTCCTAAGAATAATATTTAAACTAGGTTGAAATGAGCGGTCAAAGACTCCAACCCAAGTGGTAACGAAAAAGAAGGAAAATGGATGGCCAGATGGTTGAGTGATGGAGGAGTCAGGAGAGGATTTTTATTTTACATTTGTAGTGCCACGTCAGTGATATTGACGTGGAACCTTTTTACTGGTAAAAATAAAAACGTGGAAACTTTTTAAGATTCTCCCACTGTCAAATTGCCACGTGTCGTCACCTCTTTTCATTTGCACAAAACAAAACACAGAGCGACATTCACGAGGGGAGTTTTAAGGTAGTAATTATTTTTTTTTATTTACGCATAATAACTCCTGCAAATGCAACAGATCGGATCTCAACATTTTTAACTGGGTTATAAGTATAATATGCCCCACTACTATGACGTTTTATCAAATATGCCCCTCTGCTATTTTTTACATCAAACATGCCCTTGTACTATGAAAACATTATCAAACATTGCCTTTATGTTAAAATTTTTATTGAAAAAATCGTCAATCATGGTTGAACCGAGATTTAGACGATCCGACATCGGCAAATGGGAGAGAAAATGTCAGTTTTATCTCCCGTTGTATTTCTCTTGGTGTCTTCAAAGTGAAATTATTTGAATTATTTGGCTATACAAAAAACAAAAAAAAGTGAAATTATTAGGGATATTTTAGACATTTGTGCCACCCAAACCAAAGTTCGACCTTGGTTAACGGTTTTTGGATGAAATTTAAACAAAAGGGCATGTTTGATCATTTTTACAAAGTACAGGGGCATGTTTGATGTAAAAAATAGTAGAAGGGCATGTTTGATAACACGTCATAGTAGAGGGGCATATTATACCTATAACCCTTTTTAACTTGAATTTCAAAGTTTTTGCTAGTTAATAATCAATTCGATTATGTTCTGTAAAATGATATTCAATTTTATATATTTTATAGTAAATAAAAACAATAATCGAGCCTTTTTTTCCCAAAGGACCATGATGGTAAAGTATAGTGGTACATAGGATTATATCATAGTGATATGAAAATGTATCATAGTATAGAATAATTGTATACAATCACCATATATCATTGTCTACCACTATTTACAACTATATTGAGAGGGGAGTGCTATAACTGGTCCAATTTTTTCTCGAAACATATCAAGAATTTATATAATTCTATACATCACAATGAACTCGTTCATTTTGTGCATTTTTTCTCCAAATTAATATATAAAGCTTAAGTTGGGTTACTGTTGCCTAACTTATTTACATTTTGATACCCCAAATTTAATTAAATCATAACTTAGTCACTATAATGTACATTTTATATTTTGATACCCAAAATTTATTTTTAATGTAAAATCATTGAACAATTATGTTTTGGTATCTAAATTGTATGAGAATTTCGTACCTACAATTTTGTACTTTTATATATTGATCCAATGTTTAGATTTCACTTGAATCCATGAATTAAATCCACCAATCCTTTAGAACCAATCCATGAATCCAATCCACCATAACATTATAGAATAAATTTAGTTTGTATCATACAAGATGTTGTATCACTAAACTGTAGTAGAAGATTCGACCATTTTATATTTGCTAATTACGTGAAACATTAAAAAAATGATAAAAAGGGACGATTTTAAAATATTGCAAGAGCGAATTTATAAACTCATTTAGTACATTTACGGGGTACTAAACAAAATTCTACTAACTACATGTAACAAAATATGCGACATCTACATAAGCAAGTGTCAATAAATTGCTACGGTGAAAATGATTGACTGTTGTATTGATGGCCAACTAAAAGAATTGGTCAAAACATTTTCATCATCTACTTCATCTTCATTTTTCATACGGGCAATTTAGTGCGATACCATCCACTTTACCTGCCGTATCTCGCCGATGCCGGCTTGTCTAGTTTTCCGCCACTAGCCCCTCTTACCGGTGATCCGGGTTTGATTACTGCGCTCGTAGAGCGTTGGCGACCCGAGACATCGACCTTCCACATGTCGTTCGGTGAGGTGACGATCACCCTAGAGGACGTTGCGACACTGACCGCTCTAGCGATCGACGGTCGTAGTAGACGGTCGTAGTAGACATACCAGACGAGGACTGGTCGGCTATGTGTCTTCGACTGTTAGGACGGGCTCCTACTGATCTTGGTGGCGGCGTCATCCGGATTGCTTGGCTCAGGGAAACTTTCGATGAGCTACCGCTTTCTGGTTGAGCACGTACCAAGTGTTTCACGGACTCAGATATAATGTCGACATCAAGATGGCGATGATCCGTCGGTTGAGTCGTACTGCTACAAGTATGCATCAACTCGGCCTTTCTCACGCTCCAATCGCCTCCCACATCTCGACATCCAAACCGCACCATCCAAGGACATTTTTCCTCCTTGTGCATCAAACATCTGATCTTCCAGATTGAAGGTGACGACTCCACCACGTTATACTGAAAGTTGAGTTGTAGTGCATAGTGTTTAATCGCCATCTGTGCAGCTTGTTTCGAGTGAAATATTTGCCCTTTGTAGAATTGTCCATCAAAACCACCAACAATAGGCCCTGCAATTACGCCATATGAATCAACATATGATAATTCTTCGTCCTCTTCATTACCCTGCAAGTAAAGATATGGAGGATAATTAGGTTGTTCTCCTTCCTCCCCGTCGTCGTCGTCCTCCTCCTCCTCCTCCTCCTCATCATCATCATCTTCCTCCTCTCCGTCATCACCGTCATCATAGTCAATATCAGATGGCATGCTCCATGTGTAACATCCCGGATCAAACGAAATAAAATATAATAAATTTAAAATGTAAAAATAGATTTCCTAGACAAGTATACAGCAGAGATTCAATTTCGTGGAATTCGCATCATTGACGGGGAAAGATGTCACGGGAAACAATAATAATAATCATAGTAATTGATTATTATAAGTGATTCTTGTAAACACATATGGTCTAAAATAAAATAAAATAAAAGTGAATTCGCATCATTGACAGGGAAAGATGTCACGGGAAACAATAATAATAATCATAGTAATTGATTATTATAAGTGATTCTTGTAAACATATATGGTCTAAAATAAAATAAAATAAAATAAAAGTGAAACAATAATAATAATCATAGTAATTGATTATTATAAGTGATTCTTGTAAACACATATGGTCTAAAATAAAATAAAATAAAAGTGAAAATGACTGCAGCAAGATTTGAAACATGAACCTGGTGCTAGTTAGCTATAAACCAACAACTTAGCCGCTAGACTACACCCGATTTCGTGTACAAGGACTAAACCAGCTTTATTATAACTTGTTTTGACGGCCCTGCTGTATGAGGCAACCAGCCTTAGTCATATGTCGTCGTTTCAATGGAAGAGGCAGCAGCCTCCACGTTTCTAAGCTGTGTCGAGCTTCAGATAGAGACGTTCAAGCGGCGCCCGACGTTGGGAACAAGTTTCTTCTTTCCAATACCTCTGCAGGATAGAAGGCGGCTTTTAGTGACTTTATGGCTGCTCTACTGATGGGGTTTAATAGAAGAGAGAGGACTCCAGGGGCAGAAGATAAGGAGAAGAAGGATTCTTCTTCTTTCTCGCCGAGAGTTGCACCGGGAAGGAAGGAGAGGAAAAGAAAGAACGATGACACTTTCTGAGGGTCAGGTTTAGGTAATGTGGGACCCGTAGAAATCCATCTACGAAGTCAGAAATAGATTTTGAAGCTTGTAAGAGGTTTCTCGGAGAGTCGTCGTCAATCCCGACGTCGACGTCGGCATCGCCAACTGCGACGATAACTCCGAAACTTGGTACCGATGCGTAGAGCTCGTCTCCAGGAGCATCACGGAGTCGACGGAATCGAATTCCGAGGTCAAACGAGGGAGAAACGAGTTTCTTCGTTTGACGTCCAAACGACGAACCTTTTGCGCCTATACGACCGTGGGAACGAGGAGAATTTTATAGAGTCAATCTCTGGAATTTTAGAACTTAATTCCCGACTTGGAATCGGCTAAATTAAGGTGTGTGGGGATTAAGAGGACCTTAATTATTGCATCGATTATTTATGCTTGATTTGCATATTTGGATGGATGGATTGGTGTGGTTGATGATTTGGTTGCTGATATGATTATTTGGTGATTAATCTTTATTGTTGCGGATTTTATGGTGTACATATCGGTATTTGACAAGTTTCACCGTAAAAATGAATAGTTGGGTTTATTGAGTTTAAAACTGATCTAAGAGATTTTTGTTTGTCTAAAATGATGTTGGGGCATATTGAGCAGGAGGTTTCACTTGAAAATTGTTTCTGGATTAAAAACTGCATAACGGTGAATTTTACGGAAAACTCGGTAAAAACGTGTTTTAATTATCTTTAAGATTTTGATCACCTTAAAATGGTCAGTATGGATTGTTAAATGAGTTTTGGTCTGGAAATGGTAAATTAGACAATTGGGGGAGTTTTTATCTTTAAAATGGTAAAAACGAGCTTAATACGAGACTTGCGGTAAAGACCGAGTTTAATATTATTTTCATGGTTTTGAGCTATTGAAAAATATAAAAACAGGACAGACCTGTTTTAGGATGATAAATGAAGGTTCTTGTATTTTTGGGAGATTTTCGGATTTACCGTTTTGTGGGAATTTAAGTTACCATAAAATAATGGTTAATACGAGATTTTTGACATTTTATTGTCTAAATTGATTTTTATGACCAGAACTAGATTAAATGGATATTTGTGTCAATAAATTCATTTACATGAATTGTGTGAGGATTTTAATGAAGGAAAGTGAATTTTGAGTTAAGGACATTTAACCGCAACCGGGTTATTTACAATGATTTGTATCGGGGCTATTTCGTGAAATTGTTGATGAATTTTGGATGAGGAATGGTGATATGGTACTGCTGAGTAGCTTATTGGAGAATGAGATGATTTATGTGATTTGGTATTGGATGATGGGATAATTTATTTTAGAAACGTCGAGTTGATAATCGACGGGAAATATATATATGGATCGGTTAATCAGTGAGACTACATTGATTCCGGATTGTTTGTGATGAATGAGAAAAATGAAAATGGTTTGATTCGTGATCATATTAATTCACATAGATGTAGAAAGGGCCTGCACTTACCCTCACCCTTGAGAGTGGGTAGATTTAGCTCGCTTATGCGATTGAGGGTTGTGGTTGCATGAGCACCACGGATGAGTGTTGTGGTTAAAAACCACGGATTGAGTGTTGTGGTTGCATGAGCACCACGGATTGAGTGTTGTGGTTGCATGAGCACCACGGATGATGATTTACTCGAGCGAGGGTAAGTGTATGGTGACCTTGGTGCCATTAATAATTAACCGAAACTTTCATATCATGCATTGATTATGTGTTCGTGAAATTATGTGATTATCTTATTGGATAAAGTTATTTAGTGATGATGAGTTGGTGGATTCGTTATATTGATTGATGATTTATATATATGATGAATTAAGATGGCATCTAGAGTACTAAATTACGATTGATTGCGACTGTTTGATTAGCTGATTGCGGTCCCGAAATTAGGTCGTGGGAAAGATCCACACACACAGCTTAGTTGCTGACTCACTTCTGTTCAGTTTCTTACAGGTTCGAATGAATTGAGAGAAACTCTGGCACTGCACAATGATCGATGGAGGAGTGGTTTTGAACTTTTCCCATATTTTGAAATGACTCTCATTTATGTTTTATGAGTCGATGGTTTGAGTATTGCATAGTAGATGGTACCGTAATGAACATAGTAGTGAATGACACTCTGATTTGGTTGACATGAAATGAATGAACTAGGTCGAGTTGATCTTTGGTATACGATGAGTAATTTGAGAATTGATTGTTGTGATTTTGGATCAAAATCATGTAGGTATGTATCTTACTAGTGGTAAATAGTCAAGTTTTTGCGTAACCCCCGATAGAGATTCCGCTGTGCGGGTGAACCATTGGTTCAACCAATGAGTTTTAGGGTGGGGTGTTACACCATGTGTCATCTTCTTCCTCTCCACCCCGATCCTCACTGAGTTAAGCATGTATCTCAGCACCCAAACAATAAGGATTTTGTGCCATAAAATTCCAAAGCACATTTAAGCTATCATCATCGACAATAGGCATTGCATAATGAAATAAAACACCATTCTGCCATTCTGGAAGACAGTAAGTGAAACCTGTAATCGCAAAACTATCTTGTACTGTTTCGTCTCTACGTCGTATTCTCCGAATTAGATTATCACAAAGTTTCTGATAGTTCACCCTGGATGGAATAGTCATCTGAAAACTTACACCACCAACAAAATGGACACCCAAATTGTCCTCTACTTTCTTTCATTTCCACCGAACAACTAGTTCAAATCTTCTAAAACCACTACATAAAAAACAAACTCCGCTAATTACTAACTCGACAAAATCAATATGATGAATACATTAAAAAATAAATACGTCTCTTACCTATTATTAGCCATCTTCCCAGCAACCAGACAGCAACATCAGAGCTTCTTTCAGAACTTCTTTCAGTTTTTTTTTTTTTTTTGTGGTGAAGAACCGAAGGAAAGGTGCAGTATATATGGTGTGGGTGGTGCTGGAGTGGAAGAAAAAGGCAGCGACAAAGCCCCAGTTTGGGGCGCCACCGCTTTTACTTATTTTTAAGCGACAAAGCCCCAGTCTGGGGCGCCGCCGCTTTCACTATTTTTAAAGGCCAAAATCCCCAGTCTCGGGCGCCGCCGCTGGATTTTCTTGAAAAAACAGCACCTAGCGGCCACGCCTGAGTCTAAGGCTTTAGCGCTTTAAACATACCAAAAAACACAATATTTCTGTAAATAGTTTTTAAACCACTATATTCGTGATAAATTTAAAAAAAGGGAATTAACCCGGTTAATAGACACCACTAGGGAAATAATTGATTATTTGATAGGCAAGGAGGGTAGCAGTTAATAGACACCACTAGGTGTTGGAATATGTTACCTATTAGGCTTAATTTGCAATTTTGCAGATATATGTTAATGGTTTTGGACTGTGTTTCATTTATTTATTGTAAAAGAAGGGATGTAGTGATGACAATGAGGCGGGGCGGGGCGGGTACCTCAATTCCCATGCCTCGCCCCACGCTACTACAGGTCGGGGCGGGTAAAACCTACGCGGGTACGGGGTGGGGTGGGTCGACCCACTCTTACATGTTGTTAAAAAAATAATACAAGTAAATTCTACTTTTTGCAATAAAACGTAGGGAAAAACCCTTTAAGAATGAAAAATATTGATAATAGAATGGATAATTGAGCCTAACAAGTTAAAAGATCGACTCTAACTAGTTGAAGAAAAGTAAAATAGGAGAAATATGTATAGATATTGTATGAAATTGAGATAAATGAGTCTAGAACGGGGCGGGGCGGGGCAGGGCGGGTCGGAAGTAGATACCCATGCCCCGCCCCCACGCTACTGCGGGTCGGGTAATACCCGCCCCATCGCGGGTCAGGTCGGGTAATACCCGCGGGCCGGGTTGAAATTGCCATCACTACATGGATGGAACCAGCTCTCCTAAAGTTATACATATAAGCAGTTGTGATCTTCGACAAAATCTGTGTTTGTGTCGTGATGGTATAGTTGAGTTCATTTTGCGGGTGTTTTTATTTTTTAACATATTAGATGAATGCTTTCCCAACGTAAAAGTGTTTTGATGAGGTAGACCGTAAAAGTGTAAACAATGTGATTTTACGTAAAAGCGTTTTGTTTATCAAGACAAGTACGTTTTTAAACTTGAATTTGACATGTTAAATAAGAAACTAATTCAATCCTACCATTACTCTTTTGTATCCCAAACTACTAGTAAACATGAGCTTAAACTTACCAAAGAAAAAATTAATTACATAACTATAATAGTAGGGGGAAAGGCCTCACGATGAATATGGTAAGGATATCCTAACTTTATGAGTATGTGCGAAATTTTATATTGTTCAAAAACATGATTCATTTGTTGAATTATCTCACCATAAAGGAAAACAATTCGGCCCCTCCTAAACTAAAATCTTGGCTTCGTCCCTGTAGTAAAAGTATTCTAAGTGTGCACTCTATAATCTAATCTGCCAAATAACGATCTTCTTATAAGCAATTATGCATGTTTTAGAGGGGATGTTCTGTTTGCAATACATATATTTTTCTATGAATATGATTCCGTTTACAATAATTTTGTTAGGATTAACTATTGTGGTTGGTATATTGATGTGATTTAATGTAAACTTATCAAATGATGTGTGAAGAGTAGAGATATGCAACAATCCAGTCCGACCCAAACCAAACTCCAAATAACTACGGTCCGATAGTAAAAGAAACTCTAGAATCAAAGATCAAACCAACAATACATTTGACACACTCTGGTCCAATCTAAATATCAAAAAATTTCTCTCATTAGTTCTGACCCTCAATGTCAAAGGTGAGTTGGAACCTCAATAGAATTTTGTACGTGATGTCAAAATTCTCAGGGCCCCAAAGCTCCACCTAGCTCCGCCCCTGGCCGTGTCGATTTGCAGAACAGGAAGGTGAAGCCGGCCGTTGAAATCAAATTCACCCTGCTTGGGGAGGAAGCCCTCTGTGGCTAGCACTTTCCGTCCAGAATTGACTCTTATCTGATGAAGTTGTTCAAGTTGGAAGCCTACAAGGTGTGGGCCACGACCGGGGGAGAAGAGCCTGATGGAGTCGCCAGCGAAAGACGGAACCAAACCGCAAAACAAATATGCTTGCGATCTTCAACTTTCGGAAGCCTTACCCAATATCTGAGGGCGACTGCTACGAGTTCTGGTCGATGAAAGGTAGTGGTGACTAGATCCGGCCGGACAAAGACCACGCTTCAAAACTCAACGAGGGACGGCGACTCTGATCTGACAATGCTTTGAGGTATGAAAGAAACACAGATTTAATCCCCTTTCTCAACAGCGGAGACGGTCACCCACCAACTATTCCTTCCTCTCTTGCTAGAGCAGTGGGCAACCTTCTGTTTCCCTATTCCCCTGAATCTGATTTTTGCATACATGTTTCCGAACACTGATTTGATTTTCTTTCTCTAACTTGATTGAGATGTATTATTATGTTGCTATCTATGTGATTAGATCGTAGATCTATGAATTTGAGAGTTCGACTTGTCGAACATGTTATTCCCTTGGATTTGATATTTGCAGAGCAGGGCAAAATAGTGTAAGGGAAAGGTTTCAGTACAAGGATTCCTATATCTGTCTTTTGGATCTGGAGCATGGAACATTGGCAGCATCGGATCGGGTTACAACTCTCGAATATGAATGCTGAAAGGCTTGGATTTGGTTTCCTTTCAATTGGAACCTTTGGCATGCCTATGGCCGCCTAAATGAGAATAATTCTCAATCATCCCTTCGAATCTGTTTCACTTCTTGTTGTTTCTGACCTATTTGGCATGTGAAGAAGCGCAGCTGTTCACTAATTTTTTGTATCTCCGGCGAGTGCAATATCGCAACCTTTGCTTGATTACTTCGTCTCGGACGCCTGCAGATCAATGACGTTGAAGATCAATGGCGCCTGAGACACATTCAGTGACAGATAAAAGATAGCATTTTACTTTCCCTTAACATGTGTTGAGGGAATTATTAGAGGAATAGATTAGAGCTTTCAATTCCCTCGTGACTGTCTGCTACACTCTGCAGTCTGCACCCTTTGTCTAGCCCATTGAATTTTCACATCACTGGTCTGGCCCCCAAGTCTTCCACTTTGGAAAGTTTACTATTGTTTATTGAAGGTATAGATTAGCCTTCAATTCCCTCGTGAGTGCCTGCTACTCTATACTCCTACGATCAATCTCCTTAAAATTACCAGTGCATCCCATTCCATTTCCCTCTTTGAATTCCATCAGAGCAATAATAATTTTCCTCGATCCTACACAGGCCTGGCTATTAAATGTAGTTTTACATTCAATTTAATTCCCTCCTTATCATGTCCGGATAAGCCAGCTATGGGTATGGAGGCTTGCTTCCTTATAATATATATATATATATATATATAGTTATTATAAGCCAACGAATGATGGAGTTGGATAATATCCTTAATCACGCCGCGCAAGAATATTTTAACACTTGGTGGCGGAGAATTATGTACTATATTTGTACAATGCGTACCAGATTCTACAAGTCGTTTGTTTACTGTGGAGAATTTGAAAATCCCGAAATACTGTAGTTTTCGAGTATACTCAACTACTGACATCCGTACTCGCTGCTCAATTCGCTCACCAAGTACAAGAATTCTCATCCACCCATCCATTTGTTCCTCCTCCCCCACCACCAGTCTTCCCTTCAGTGCCTCCTTCCTGGTCTCCCCCTCCTCTTGGCCATCTCAAACTCAATTTCGACGCAACTGTCCATCACTTCCCGAGGTAGTTCTACATGCTTGGTGTTGAAGTCTGCAGACGACAGTACACACTTAGCTTTTGGACTTCAACATCTGGGGATCGTCAACCCCTAACTAGCCGAACTTCTAGCCGCTCGAGATGGTTTAAACTTGATTCATCACTTTGGCCTTCGTGAAGGGGAGTTGCTATTTGTCGTCATAATTTTAACATATAATATAATTACTATTTTGTCCAAATTAAAATTTGAAAGCAAATGAGCAAACAAACCCTGATAGGTTACCACCTTCCTCCCGCACATCTGATTCCCTTTGCAAATCATACCCGGCGTTACATTCCGACCGTCGAACCGCCTCCAGAGAACAAAGCACTGGACTGTCCGAACTGCTACGACCCTCGATGAACCAAGCTCGGCTGCCGCCGACAAAGCAGTGTCGAGAACGAACACCGGCGTCGGAAGTTCCTGTACGCGAGAACCCAGATGCCGCGCCACAGCCACCCTCCGCAGAACCTTCCTGCCGCCTCTGCTCAAGACCTGAACCTTTCACTGACCGATCGAGAAGGGAAAATAGGTGGTCGCCCGACCGCACCCCGCCGCTCCTTGTCGGAGAAAATGATCGGGAAACCCTCTATTTAACCCCTTGGGCCAAACGCAGCGTAGCTCACGTTTATCCCGTGGACAAAACGAATAAACGCTTTCGTTTGACCCTTGGTCAAACCGCACTTTGGACAACAGGCAATAACAGATTCGTTCAATCACTGGTCGAACCGCTGCGACGCACACGTTTAACCTTTGGTTATAACGCATCTACAGTTTGTTTGACCGCCGCTTAAAACGAGATTTGAGCTGCGTTTGATTGTTGGCCTATTAGTAGACACTAGACACTAAAGCGAGGGAAGGACGAAGCGAAGATGGTGGAAGGAAGCGACAGTGGTTTAGTCCGGCGGGTTACCCGGGATTGACAGGAGGTCACGTTTACTCTGTTTCCGGCGAATCTCTAACCGTGAAGGAGGGATCTGACGGCGGGCTTCTGGTTGCGCTTGTTGGTCCATTGGCTCGGTGAGACAGAACAGAAGCGAGGGCATGAAGACGGGCATCCGGGCTGGAGGAGGACAGATCATCGTCGGAATGGAATGGATGGGCGCCGGCAAGATTGAAGGGATGGCTCCGACGTACGTGTAGGGGAGAGGTGGGAGGGAAGAGGATGATGGGTGCCGGCGTCACTTGCAGGGGAGGAGATTGACTCCAGAATTTGTCGTGCGTGCAGGGGAGATGTGGGAGGAGAGAGGAGGTAGGGGTGTACATGGGTCGGTTGGTTCGGGTTTAACCATTTTAATCACCCGACCCATGCACTACGGTTTGGGAATTATCAAACCCAAACCCACCCAAAAAATATTTAAACCCTACGGTTTGTTTCTAATTGGGTTGGATCGGGTTGGCGATATTTTTAAGTAAAAACCCAACCCAACATAAAATATATAATTATTATACATCATAAAAATATTTTATAACTAACTAAAATTTCAAACGAATAAACTGAGGTGAAAGGTATCAAAATTCACAAATGTTATTTGAATTTTAATAAAATGTGATTTACTTCAACATATGTCTAGTTTTTTTCACGATATTTGTTGAAATAGGCTAAAAAGGTTATAAACAAACGCATCCATAATATATTATTCTATTAAAATTGTACGCAAGAAAAATTATTATGTGAATCATAACTATATTCAATTTATGTCTAAACTTTTAGTCGAAGAATGCATTAGATTAGGGAGATCATGATAGGAAAACATGACGAAATATCTTAATTTTCTCATAAGTATGACTATATACGACATAAATATTTTTAGATACGAACTCATACTAATAGTTGGAACACGGGTTGGGTCGGGTTCTACGGGTTGTGTAATCCAAAATCCAAACCCAACCCAAAAGAGGCGGGTTGTACAAAAGAAAACCCTCACCCAACCCAAATCCTTCGTTTTAGCAATAAATACGGGTGGGTTGGATCGGGTTGGACGGGTGGGTCGGTTTGCGGGTGTGTTTGTTCACCCCTAAGAGGAGGTATGGTTTGTTAATTGTTTAGGATGTGTTTGTTTGAGTTATAATTTATAATTTAATTTGGACAGTAACGTAAATTGCGAGGACGACGAATAGTAATTTTAGGACGACATTTAGCGTTTCAGCCGTGAAGTCATATTGGAAGGGGACTCTAAAGTCGTCATTTGCCAGCTTCTCAGAGGGACAGAGTCAGATGTTGTTGGAGACCCGGTGCTCAGAGACTTTCGTCTGATGATCGCTACCCTAAACATAGGCTTAGAGGTTTGCGCGGTTCCTAGAACTGCCAATCGGGCTGCCCATAGTGTGACAAGAAAAGCCCATTCTCTGTCTAGTTTAGAGCTACTTTGATTTGATTTTGTTTCTTGAGTGGGAAGGGACTTATAGGGTGAGTTGGACCTTAGAACTGTATTAGAGACCACTTGGCATTTTGTAGTAAAACTTAGGGCTACATTGTGATGATCAATTTGCAGTTCCAACGTTAATTAAGCCACGAAATAACGAATAATCCTTCAAATAAAAAACCTCTAATGGGTATTAGACTAATAATAGTACATTTCCAGTTCACTTGACTGTCTGCCTTATAACTTTTAGCCATGGAGGCCAAAAAAAATCAACGAAAGAAACCTCTACCGAACAGCCAAACACTGATTGCAGCCACAAAGTAAAACAAAACAAATAACCCTACAGAATGCCGCAACGTCTAGTCTTCTAAATAATGTTTTTCCCTATAAGAATGACAGCGGAAGGAGAGGCCAAAATAAGAACTAAAATGACCGAAAAGAAGATGAAGCAAAATTTGAGGGAGAAAAACCACGAAAAGACTAATTCTTTCCACCTTGAACGGCGCCTGCAGCAGCAGGAGTGGCGCCTGCTGCAGGTGGCGCCGGTCTAGTAAGACGGGCTCCTCTCCCACCTCCGTTCTGATAAACCTTCGCCTCGCCGTTGCGTCCAGCACCGCCACCTCTCGCCTGACCTGAGAAATTGCCACCGCCCTGCTGGTTCTCAAACTCACCCTTCCCATACCCTCCACCACGTCCTCCAACAAAGCTCCCACCGCGGCCCCTGAAGCCGTCGTTCCTGTAACCGCCCCTTCTCGGTGCAAACTTCCCGGCTTCCCCAGCAGCTAGGGACGGAAATAAGAGACATTCATTAACAATGTCCATAACCGAGGGATTCAAGGTTGCCTTGCAAGGAGAGATTCGAGTAGGGACGTACCTTTCTTCTTCTCGATATGAGCTTCCCGGTTGCCAATCATCATGGTCCCAGCCTATAGTAATAATAACCCAGTCCAAATAAGGATGCGAATCAGAATTTAAGTATGAATGTGTGAAGGAAATAGGGGCGCGACAACAGTACCTCAAGGGCTTTCTCCATGGAGCTAGCTGATTCGAAGTCCACAAACCCAAAACAGTTCTTCTCTTGCTGGAAATTAAGATTGATATATAAACCATGTTAGGATTGGTCATATAAAGCAACCAAGAAAGAGAAACTGGCCATTGCTGTAAAATATGTATGTGTATCTAAGCAAAGACCTTGTAGCTTCTGACTTGGACGCCGCCGGACTTGATGGGCCCGAATTTCTCGAAAATCTCGTACAGCTGTTCAGGAGTTGCATCCATTGGCAGGTTGGCAACAAAGATAGGGTGGCCCTTCCCTGCAGCAGAACGGATCGAAATGTATATTAGAAATTGAGAGAAACACAATTTACCAAAACAGTGAACTAAGATAACAGCAGCAGTAGAAAAGTAAACTTCAATTACCAGTGAAATTGTTGTTCCTTTCGACGGAGTTGTTTCTAGCAGGACGAGGAGCTGGAGCATCTGTTGGTGCAGCTGCTGGTGCTGCAGCAGCAACAGGAGCATGGACAACAGGTTTTGGTGGTGCAATCCTCTGCTGGAATGGCTGGGGTTTGTAGTTCAATTGGTAGGCCTACGTGAAAAGGGAAGAAACTTGAGCAGCAAGACCCTCTAAAGAATCAATGGTGCCCTTATTTTGACTAAAAAAATAAGGAAGAAAAAAAGAGCTTTTATATGTGAGAATTACGCACAATTGAAGCATAAGACTTCTTGGGAGCATCCTCCGTCGCAGTAGGGGTAGCAGCTGTCTCAGACAGCTGGTGATGATTTGCTTCCTGAGTTGCAACTTCGGCCTTTGGAATAGCAGCAACAATTTCTGTAGCCTCAGCAACACTATTTGATACATAATCTTTCTCTGCAACAGCAATGTCACCATTGTCCAGCTGAAGACTAGCTTCATTGCTGACGGGTATGGTATCTTCAGCAGCAACAGTAGCAGTTTCTTGCTCCACCACAACATGATTGGTGAAAGGAGTAGGCTCTACAAAATCAGACAGCCAGATAACATATTTCACTGATAAAGAAATTACCCGAGGAAAGATAAATCTTAAGAAAAGTTGTATTCAGAACTGACCAGGTTCAGGGGTAGCAACAGGAACAGTATCGGCAGCAACCTCGGAACCCTTCACAGCTAGCAATTCTTCCTCATCGACGTACCTCAGAACATCGTTCAAGACAAAGAATCCAGCATTATCTTGTGGAGCAAGAAAGAATAATTGGGTGAATTTCCGCTTCAGCCCATCCTTTGCGGTGAGGAAACCAGTCACCAGAACGATGACTCCATCCCCAAATGATTTCTGAGAATCAGCTGTCAGTATCTGGACCTCACAGTCTTTGTACTCCAGAGACAAGATCATCTGATTGATACCCTGCATGATATAGGCGATTCGTAAGCAGAAGAATGATATGGGCAGCATGAAAATAGTAAAACTAAATCTAGGTGCAAGAAGAACAACTAAAAACTGTACTGAAACACGGTAAAGACAATTAAGTTTTGTAGAAATAAAACAGACTGCCCAGCAAGGCTCAAGATACTTAGAGTATAAACCAGGGCCAACAAGCACTAATTATGGTCACAACATATTTAAATCCAAACAAAGGTCATTGCTTTCTTTGCAAAAGGGACACCATCACTAAGCTGCAATAATAAAACCCCATTTCAGATTTACCTATGCAAGAGAGTTATCTCCTAGTTGAACACAACAGTTAAAAATTGACAGCAACAGACATTTACATGACAAGCAGTGTGGTCTTTGATGAACTTACAGCCATAGTTGAGACAGACGACATCAAGCCATCAGCAACTGGCCTGCTCATGACACTGGAGTCATGATAAAACTTATGAACCACATCGGGCGATTTCGAGAGCATGTTGTAGTACTGCTCAACAAAGGCATTCCCAACCAACTGAGCAGTGGGAGAGGGAACAGGATCTTCAGACTGCATCGTCATCTCTTCTGTAAAACAACTCAAAGCAGAAAAAAAAAATAAAGAATCACAAGTGAAAAAAGTAATAATCTTTTCATCATCACTAACGGTAAAAGACTTGCAGCATTGCATTTACTCTCGTTCCCCAATGTAACCAAACAGGCATTCAAAGTAATAATCTGGTCATCATCACTAGCAGTAAAAAAGTTGCAGCAGTGCAATTACTCTCGTTCCCCTATGTAACCAAACACGCATTCAAGACCAACTTAAAAACCAAGCACCCCATAAGAAACCCTAATACCACTCTCCAGCCAGCTCGAATCCAGTACTCAGTGAGCAAAATCCAAAGAACCTTAGCAACCAGTCCAATTTACTTTTTTAATGTGCTAGATTAATATGCAGTAACTCACATCAATTATCAGGAAGTATATATTCATAAAACAAAAATAGCAAATCAATCATAAATAATAAAGGAAGGATCTGATCAATCTCATAGCAAAAACAACTACCAGATCTAGCAAAAATAAAAACAAATCTTAAAAATATAAATCAAAAGAATTCCAACCCAATGAAAACTCGATTCCACAATCACTTGTGAAAGACCTTTCTCCAACTAAGCTAGCAAAATCAGGACTCCACCAAAATCAACCCGAGGAAAAGAAACAAGAAAGACGGCGGAGACATACGTATTTACGAGCTGAAACAATCAAATCGGTCTCCTTTTATTACTCTCCCGCCGACGGAGAGAGAGTTGAAGGCGGAAAACGTCCTGATGCGTTAAAGAGATAGAGCAGGGAAGGACAAACTTGCCGCCGGCGGGCAAGGCTGAAGGGAATCGCTGTTCGGAAGACGGAAGAGCGGCCGCGACGGCGGAATTTGCTGAGTGAGAACCAAAAAAAAAAAGAGAGAGCTTGAGATCGGGCGAAAGGGTTGCTTTTATATATTAAAAAAAAATCAGGAAGAGGTTTCTTGGTTTGGGTTTGGGCTTTCGTTGGGAGGCGGAGGGTTTCGGGGAATTTTCATTGTTTATATATTTATATGATTTTATTTTTTCCTAATTCGAATCGGGCTTCGTTGGGAGGCGGAGTCTTTACTCTTCCAATTTATTTTCCGGCGAGGAAAAATGGAAATTTCTGTTTTTATTTTCAGGGGGAAAAGGAAAATTAAAGGGTGGGTGTGATCCAGTGGAATTGCGCAACGTGAGATTTATATTAGGGGAGTGCCCAATCACTAGATTTGATTTTGGACGGCTGTGATTGATTTCTGGACGGCTGTTACGGTTGCATCGGGGGTGGGATCTGGGGTTGAGGATCCGACGGTGGTGATTGGTTGATGACTTGATGGGAAGAATAAAGGTAGGGTAGGTGACAGGCGTGGAAAATAAGCGCAGAGCATCATCATATGAATTACATGAAACTCGGACTCGAGGAAGAGAAACCCTACTGTGTAGTTGTACTGTCTTCCCTGTACTTGTGTCTTTAATCTATGTGTTAGGGTTCGTAGATTTTTTTTTAATACTTTAGTTTGGCCCGAACTATACACATACTTTCTACTTTAGCCCGTAGTATTGAAAATTGCTATTATGACCTGAACTATGTAGCAAACTTCCTCATTTGGCCTGGAGATGGGTTTGACCGTTAGTCAATGTACACCTCACATGCCACGTTAGCTTTAAGGACATAAAAAATTATTTTTATTTTGAATTTTTTTTCTTTCGATTAATAAAATTTATAATTCTTATTAACAAAAAAAATAACTCTAAAAAATTAATTAAAAGGACGAATAAAAGAGAAGGCGAATCGAAGGGGAAGGGAGAAGGAGGAGTCGGGGAAGGAGGATTCCAACAATCAGCGACGGCGGCGTCTTTAACCGACCGGCCGCCGCTGCATTTGCCGGAGAATCGAAGAGGAATTCGTCGGGGAAGGGAGTTCGGGTAAGACGATGGGTCTGAAAGGGGGAGGGAATTATTTCCCGATAAAGGCGATGCGGGAGGATAAGGGAAGTGGGGGGCTGGGATAATTTTGGCTTTTTTAGTTTTTTTCGTTCTTTTAATTAATTTCTTTTCGCTATTAATTTTTTTATGTAATAAGAATTATTAATTTTATTAAACGAAAGAAAACAAAATTAAAAAAAATAATTTTTTATGTACTCAAAGCTGACGTGGCAGGTGAGGTGTACCTTGACTAATGGTCAACAGGTTTGACCGTCTAATTTGACGGTCAAACCCGCCTCCAGGCCAAATGAGGAAGTTTGCTACATAGTCCAGGCCATAGTAGCAATTTTCAATACCACGGGCCAAAGTAGAAAGTATATGTATAGTTCGGGCCAAACTAAGGTATTAACCCATTCTTTTTTTACAGTATTACGTTTCGTTGGAGAAGGTAAACTTTGGGGTGGTTTGGAAGTTTCGAATGTTACATCGTTGTATTGTAATTTATCTCTATCGTATAAATACATGTATTGATACAATTGATGCATTTTAACAATACATTTTTTGGTTGTTGAGATTCTATTTTATGTATTGATTTGCATAAAGTTATTTTATGGGGAAATGTCACATTCACCCTCAACTTTTAATATAAGACAAAAACTATTAAGGATATTAATGGAAAGAAAAAGTGGACACAAATCTAAAACCAACAATCTCAACTAAAAGTTGAGATTGTATAATGCATCCTTTTTGTGATTGTTGGTGGGGCCTACCTAAAACAATGCATGTATTGTTTTATACTTTGGCATTTCCAAACAATGTATTGTGCACAATACATGTATTTAATAAACACAACTCTAACAATCACAACTTTCAAACGACTCCTTAGTAGTAGGGTGATATTCGGTAAACGGGTATATGGAAAAATTAACTAATAACTTATGGTTGATGATTATACTGTTAATTAATTGATTATAAGTTAGTGATGTGGTATCGGTAGATTGAAATTATTTTCAATGTAATCGATAGTCGAATAGTGGTTAACATTTAGCTGAATAACTAACTGAATATAAATATATATATTTCTCTCCTTTTTGGAAATCATCCAGGTCTCATAATTGCAATTGAAAAATTCCACTTGACTTTCACTCGACCACTTTGCTCCACACTCCTTTCACTGTATCGCAATCCCTCAAACCGTGTAGGTGAGTCTCAGGGACAGTCTCATAGTTCATGCAAGAGTCATTTAGGGTAAGGTGTCTGTACTTTTGGATATCATTAATGGTTAAGTTTTCTTTCATTGCCATCCAAATAAACATTCGCATTCATTCAGGCACCTACAGCTTCCATATTTTTTGCGCGCACCCCAATAGCCGGCCGTGGGGCTTAGTCAATCTTAGGTTTATCTTCATATAGGGGTGGAAATCGGTACGGTATCGGTATCTCAATACCAAATACCAAAATCCCGAATACCGAATTACATCCTAAAATCAATCACAATCTCAATCCCTAAATAATTTCGGTATCCCAATCCCTAAATAATATCGGTATCCCAATCCCAATCCCTAAATATTTCGAGTGCTCTATCGGTATTTCAGTATCCCAATCGGTATTATCGATTATACATTAATTATCTTTGCAATTAATATTTACATATATAAATTAGACTTGATTGTTTAATTAGTGCAAAGAGACAAAGCAAAGAGTCCTGAGTTTGCTAGAGTTAGAGCTAGAGCTAGGACATGAATAAAGAGAAGGGAGGAGAGGTGATAACTCAAGTTCTTGTCATTTGTAATCTTTAAATCAACAAATTAGAGGTTGAGAGATGACTAATACTAACGTTTTCTTTTTTATGTTACGAAAATAACAAGATATTAGATGAGAGATGAGAGTGGCTAATATTGAAAAAAAAATTGAGTTGGATGATGACTTGTCAATTATGAAAGAGTGGGGAATGACCAAAAGTTGCGTGCTATATTTCATTAATTATTAATTTTTGTTGTTTCTCGGTATTTTGGTATATTTTGGTATATACCGATCCCAATCCTGTAATCCCGAATGTCGAATAGCACTCCAAAATAATTCTCAATCCCTAAAAAATAAATCGGTATTCGATAATACCAAATAGTGATAAGTTCAGCACGGTATTCGGTACTATTTTCCCTTCCCTCTCTTCTCAGCGCAACAACCTTGCAGAACACGACATACTCAAAGAAAAGATAAAGAACATCCAAACAAGGACAACTAAAGCCTATCTATTCTCCACCACCTGTCTCGGGAAGCTGATTTCCTGAACATCCTCTTGCGGAATCGAAAGTAGACTGGTCGGGGGTTCATCCAATTCATGCCAGCCAGTCCGCGACTCTATTCCCCTCTTTGTACGTTTGAACAAGTTGAACCACCCAACCTTGCGCTATCATGCGGCAATTGGCGCCAAGGATCGTCGTATAAGGGTGAACCGGGTCTGAACGCTGCCCGATCAGGTCTAAAGCTAACTAGGAGTCGGATTCAAGGATGAGGAACTGAGCTCCTTTGCGCCAAGCTAACTGGAGGCCCTGCAAGATTCACCACAATTCAACAAGTAGCGCCGAACCTGTACCAAGTTTGGTGCAGAAGCCACTAATCTAGTCACCCCAATAGTTTCGAAGAACTCATCCTGTTGTGGCCATTCCATGATTACTTTGAGCAGCTCCGTCTGTATTGAGCTTCCACCATCCTATAGCCAGAACTGTCCAACTTATCAGGGTCTCAACCCTCGTTGGCTTGGAGTTGAGGTTAAGTCTTGAGCTAGTTGCTTCCCAGGCTTTCGACCATTCATTTGCTTTGGTTGCATCATAATTATGTATCATCGAGGGAGAGAGCTTAATGTCGTTGAAGACTATGTCGATACGACATTTCCAAATGTGCCATAGCACTAGATTGAAGTAGGAGGCCCAGTTGCCTCGCCAATTACCCTGAATCATTAGAAATATTGGAAATCATCCAGGTCTCATAATTGCAATTGAAAAATTCCACTTGAATTTTAATCGACACCACTTTGCTCCAGACTCCTTTCCCTGTATCACAATCCCTCAAACAATGTAGGTGAGTCTCAGGGACACCCTCACAATTCGTGCAAATGTCATCGAGGGTAAGGTGTCTGTACTTTTGGATATCATTAGTGGTTACTTTTCTTTCATTGCCATCCAAATAAACATTCGCATTCATTCAGGCACCTGCAGCTTCCATATTTTTCGCCAGATAGTTTGCTATCCTGAAACTTGAGGAACCAGCGCCCTGTAGGCAGAGCTTGATGTAAATTTTCCCGTCGAAGTTAAGTTCCAGATTGGGCGGTCATCTTCAGTAGCTAGGGGATCCACAATCACATCCCTTATCCTAGTAACGACGCTCGAGGGCAACATTGACTCAAACTCCTCCACTTTCCACCCCTAGTCAGCATCCTAATAGTCCACCACCCTGTTGTTAAGCGTGTCCGCGTATATCTCCGTCAAGGCAAGCTCCGCAAGGGGAACCTGCAAAACTCACGGATCGGTCCAGAATTTAGCCTTTCTACCATTATATATATTAAAAACATAGCCTTTCTTGACCACATCTAGAATAGAGGCAAAACTACACTGATAATTGTCTTTAACATATTAAATTTGTGAACTTTATGTGACTATTCCATCATATGTTTAAGCCGATTGGTGCTATTTTAGTGAGAATTAACACGGGAATGGTTGAAAAGCCATTACCATCATGTGCAATTGTTTTGATGTTTAAGGTGAAGAAATAAAGAAAAATATGACAGCACAGCAGCACAGCTGAATTCCGGAAGCAGCAGAACGTGGGTACGAATCAACACATATTATTAAAGGTGAAAGCCAAAACCCATTGCTCCATTTCAAATTTCCTGCATCGAGAGTGATAGTAGGAATGACATTTTTGTCTCACAACTACTTATTTCTTTCTTATTTATTCATAAAAAATAAATACATATGGAGATTTGAACCACGTCTACTATTAAGAGAGGGAATGGCTACAACCAATCACATTACATATATTTGTTATATCTTTTAAAAGAAAAACGTACACAAACCTAAAATTTCAAAATTCAAAAGACCTTTTCAACGGTTAGCTAGCAACTAAATCTCTCGTAAGTACTTATTTTGTGATTTGATACTTCGACTTTCATATTTTTTATTATTTTAATTATATTTTAATACTTAATTTATATTTCAATATATAATATAAATAGAGGATAACTTT